GATGATGATGACTGCTCTTGAAAACACCCATCATGTACGATGGAGCGTAGAAAAGCGGTCTGAACGGGTCATAGGACCCGGCATCGTTAGACGCGTTTGAAGTGAGCCTCAGCTCAGCGAGACGTTGATGTTCCCCACCCGGTGGATATAGCCTGCGAAAAACATGGTGCACGTACCTGCTAGTAGAAAATTGCTCCCAGTCGATCAGAGCAGCTTTAGATCACCGCACATGCGGCGTTGATCCATTGGAATCCTCATTACCTCCTCTGGTATTGACTCGTGACGTAGGCCAGAGGCATTGTCCGTTCCAACGACAGACCCAAGCATCTTCGTGCTCGTCCTGGCTGCTCGATGGACTTGTGTCATGGCTCTACGCTGCGAGGGCTTCTGGCGGGATTGTCGATGATTTTGGTTCTTTTGATTGGGTCTCTTCTAGATATTAGCGTATGCTGTCCTGGCAAATTGGTTGTGGCCCAGACAGAAGGCTTTCTCACTGCGATTTTGGCCTCGCTTTTTGTGCTTGGCCCGAAATGACCAGACGAACAAGCCCGAGAGAACGACGATGGTAACATTGAAAATAGATTCTCAGACAGTATCAAACAGAAAGAAAGGTCTGCAAATATGACATGTCCAATCCATGGGCCAAATGCTGAAGATGAAAGGACGTAGAATGTCGTGTGTTGACAACAGAAATGAGACTAGTAGATGTCTCGCTCTTATTCTTGCCGCAGAGATCAAGCGTTCGGCTATCACTTCTGGTGCTTCAAGTTTTTCCAATCACCACCAACTACCAAAGCGAACACCACACTAGCTACTCAAGACTTTCGATCTCCTCTTATAGTCACCATGACTTCGGAGAACGAACCCCAGTCATTCTCGAAGACCACAGTGTGGCATCCATGACAGCTTTTGGTTTGGCCGCCTTTCGAAATGGTCATGGTAAGATAGAGACAGGCACGGTGAATCGACCAAGCCTATCCGTTGCTCGTCTGTAGCAAGCACTAATTCTTATGGCAGATGCAACCTTGCCATGATCCTCTTCAGTTGTGCAGTCATGCTAGTCATCAAATCGTGAGAACCAACCACCCGCTTGCCCCAGTCAAAGTATATTAATACTAATTTCAGCCTTGACACTAGATCCTCTCTCCGTAAGCTTCTTTTCCTCGCCCCTCACCATCTTGTGGGTGCAAGCGCGGGTTTGGAATATCAAGTGAACAGATGGACTGAAAGGTGAAAAAACAAGCGGCATTGCTAATACATGGATTAGGCTCAGCCGCGAGCGACGTCGCAGGCGGCTCCTGCCACATCAATAGAGATTATAGAGCTCATTCGCAAGATATTCTACGCATCAATCCTTTGGAGGTATCGATACGGGTGGCTCCGGTCACATCAATAGAGATTATAGAGCTCATGTGCTAGACATTCGTCGCATCAGTTATTCAAGAGTGGAGCTGTCAACGATGGATCGAGAATGGACCATTTTTATACAGACGGGTGATTGTGATAGACACCACTGTCAGAGTAAGACTAGGCCAGATGCCATGAATAAACTGTTTTGCATCTATGAGTCTCAATTTAGTTGAAAACACAAAGTCTTTCCTGATTGTGTCTTCCAGCTCTTCATGCAAGCAGCCGTTGCATACCCTTCCAGAAGCTTCCTCTCGCATCTCAGAATGACGCTCTTTGACCGTTTATTAGAAAGATTGACACGCTCGATTATCGTGCTGCTACATTACCGACGTAGGACTACCCATTTACCTCGATTCACCATACTTGATTCATACAGCTTATGTGAATATTCTCAAGAACTTCTTGGATGCTGTCGTTCATATCGTGAGCTCCTCCCTTCATCTTCCATTCATTCCGTGTCTCAGATGGCGGTTCTTGGCGTTGGTGAAGTGCAATATCTGGTGTACACTTCACAGACTCTGATTCAGGCGTTCGAGCCTGCTACCGGTCTACACCTCGGCGATTGCAGGTGTCTCAAGGTAGGTTTTGCCGCGCACACGAGCGCCAACGCCTGTATTACACCTTGCAGATTCCAAATCATGTGGTCAGGGCCCTATCAAGGACAGAAATTGCGCTTTACCGCCTCTTTTGTATGATGGAGCCCCTAGATCGTCAGTCATATACCCAAGTCTTCTGCTATCTTAAATTTCCAGCTGGAGTGCCTGTAGTATCTCATGAATGCTGCCCAAAGACCACACGAGCATCCTCTCCGTGCTTCAATCCGTAGCATGAGGTTGCCGCCAAGTTCCAGAGCCTGTACACTCTCTACCCTCTATTTCGGAGGGTTCAGGAGATAAATTTCTCCGTATTTACACACGCACAGCCGCCATATGCTTCACGTAACCTGATTCAGGTCAGGAGCTTCTCTTCCAACGTTTACATACACACATATCGACCTCCGCGTCCACTGGCTCGTATTCTCGCCCCCGCCTATGCTTCACTTGAAGGTTTGAAGAACGATACACTCAGAAACAGTGAGGACTCGAATGGTCAAAACCGACATTCACCATGTACACGTGTGCTTCTGAAGTGAAATGGGGTCTGATCAGGTGCCCTGTCTGGCTGGCGATCACTTCATTGAGCTTTTCATTCCCTTTCGTGGCCATGATGTGTAGTAAGACACTCAATATCGCCTTCACTAAGGCTAGAACATCGAATCACTCACTCTTTACACGCTCCCGAGTCTCTTTTTCTTCACCTGACTAGGAATAGTGACTTGAACTTGCTCCCGCGCTGAGACATCTGTCTTTGATATTGTTCACACTTGAACCACGCCAGTGAAATGCGAAGATTCTGCGTCAACGCTCAACGATAGTGACGCTCTGTGTTCATGTGAACCCTGATCACCAGGGACCCTGAGGGGTATAAGAACCCCCTCCTCCTCCTGCCATTCTTCCTCCTTTCTTCTCCTTCCACCTCCATTCTCTTCCCACTCTCCCACCCTCGACATCGTCCCTTCTCCCTCTCTCCTCTTCTACCTTACTCTATCCTTCTTTGATGTATATATATATATATACTATACATCCATACATCATGCAACATACAACATTCTAAATATATATACTCGACTTACCTGACCTCGATCGGTCCGCCTTCGCCTCAGTCTCCGTTCCACTTCGAGGCCTTCTAGCCAGTCACGCTCTTTGTGCTTGGCATCCAATTTCCATGATGTGCAGGATAGCACAACTCCTGCTGCACCACGTACCGTCATGAGGAAGGTTGGTTCACAGGAGAATGGCAGAATAGTGAGTCCTATATTTTCATCCATCAACAGTAGCTCTTGCACTCCTGTTCTTCAAGGAGCTTGAACTTGTCGTATTGAAGCCGACACCCTTCTAGGTACGACCTGACAGAGTCACTGTCCTGGACCAGCTGGGTCATGTCATTCGTTTAGAGGCCTGACGACGGCTGACGGGCTGCAAATGGCACGACATCCTAATGCAAATGATGCCAGAAGGAGGGCGTCGGCAGCAAAAAGTCGATGGCAAGAAGCGAGACTCGCTAAATAATATGGGTAGTAGAACTTACTACCCAAATTTCAGAATGCTTTCTTGGTTCATCACTTCATCATCTAACGGTACCGAGCGGCAACAGCTCAGCTCCTCGAAAGACTGTCGCAATCTCAACTGCGGCCCTACACTTGGACTCATTGATCCAGCACTCGGCGAGATCTTGGAAAACCGCATCAGAGTACGTTCTCTGTCGTCGCGGTATGAGAAACAGTTGCCGAACGGCAGAAAGAGAAAGATGATGAGCAACATCAAGCCAATCAACCCTCAACACAGGGATACGTACCTCCGACGCTTCAGCATCTCTCCCCGTCAAAATCTCATCAAGCTGACGTCCATATCTTCAATACCAGTATAGATCCATGAAGCTTTTCCAAGGGACCTATTTGATGTGATAATGAAGTTGTCGGGCAACCTCGAAGGCCCGGGATGCTGCGAATATGGAAATCTTCCCATTGGGCCTAGGCTCAAGGTCGGCAAGGACATCTACATCTTGACAGAGATTTGGCGGCTTCCAATCTGATATCGAACATGAGTCTGCACATTCTTACGAACGTCTGCCATAGGTACTCTTCAGATATCGATGTCAGGACGGTAACCTGCGAGCAGCGGCCCTGGGAGTGTACGATCGCACGAACGCTGCTCGATATTCCAGGCGTTCCAGCTCAAAAAGGTCGGCCGAGTGTGACAGGAGTAATTAAACAATGACGCTCCTGCTACACGCGAGAATCTGAACATTGATGGGTCCTCTTGTCATCTTCAATGATACAAAAGATGGCCTGAGAATTTATGATATCAAGCTACGCACAAACATGAGAGTACTTCGCCGACTCAGTGTACGCGTGATACAAACGAACTTTGCTTGGCTTCACGCAGTACAACGTAGACAGGGATGAGCCTGGCCAAGGAATACAGCAGAATCTCAGTCAATGCTACTTCTGTTCTCGCTGTAACCAGGTGATCCAATGCTATCCTGCGTTCAACAAGCAGTATCAACACCATAAGAACCGCATGTGAGCCTCCAGGTTATAAAGTGAGATTCAGTCTGGCCCGTGCTATGTACGGACAAGCTGGAATGACAAGTTCGCTGTGTTGGGCTTCAATACGGATACGGTGGCAAAAGGGGCTGGGTGCGGGCATATTCCGCGGTCCACAAATGCCCTTCCGAAGCTGTCACAACACCCATTCCACACCACCCTCGAGCTCAACCACATCCACCTCTGACGTGCTGGTACATCACTCGGAGCTTCGAGCACCTATTTTGACCTTCCGAGAGACCTTATTGTGTCGGAAGGGACGACTGTGCCACCTTGACGCGCCACGACGGACGGTGGCCCTGGACAGATTGATCCAAGAAATCTCTTCTTGCTGAGAGGTAGTCACTTGACTAACACCTGTCCGATTGAAGTGGAGCATCCCAGAGCATTCTGAAGATCCAAACAAGGAAAATTGATCGTTTCCAGGTGATGGTGATGCCAAACGATGCCAAATGACCTACCTCTTTGCCACCTACCACACCTCGACCTCAATTCGAACGGTCTAGAGCCCAAAATTGGTGAAAGTCAGCCAAACTCACCTTCTGTCATCGATATGGTGTACACATACCCACTGCTGGCTGGCAATAACACCTCCAATCTCGACCGGCGCCTCGATCGAGTATTTCTGCGGGAAAGCGGACCTCATGACCCAGAGCCACTCTATCAGGTGGTTTCACAAGCGTCAGAACAAAGACAGGGTACCAAGAATACATCTTCAGGGCCTCGTCGTATTCATACGGGCTCCTTGGGCTTCGGGAGCGGAGAAAAACCTTTATTTTGCTGCCTGGCATCAGTCAGTACTGGCTACATGGTGCACCCTTTACGCAGACCCACATGCCATTACAATAGGTCTAGAAGATCTATGTCACTCAACAGACACGACCCTGCTCCCTTGTGAAGAGAAATTGCAGGCAGAAAGATCAGAAGCAATCCCGGCGGTGACGGTGGACTAATAGCGCGGTGTTAATTACAAGCCCAAAAAGCCAGATTCAATGGATGTTGATCTGTTCCACTTGCCATCTACCGTCATACCTAACAAATGATAGCCACTTGTCGATAGCCAATATCTGGGAGCTATTCTCAGACGGTAATTGGCATCGTCAGCTTTCGACACGGAACCCATGGTGACCCTTGGAGGCTTAGTTGCGTCTCACTAGATGCCAGGTTATGATATTATCAGGAGGATAATTTTCAACCAGACGCGAACTTCTTTCAATTTATGGGTTGTTGCTGGTCTTGTCCTGTCTCAAATTCCAGCTATCAGCAGCGAGATAAACTCAGAAGCAACAGATGATCGATACATCTCACCGTTGTACCCGAGCAGGAACGGAATACGGATGAGCCTCCATGGTTTTGTCGGTCCATCTCATAGCAAGATGCTAGACAATCGATCACATACGATACTAGCAGCCAATGTTCAGCGAGCTTTTGACAAGATCAAGAAATGACAACCGATACTAAGCAATAGCTTTCCTTTCTATCGGAAAGTGGATGATTTTGGGTTGTATGATCAGATCGAATGGTATACGCGGAGTAGCCGTTCGCTACTTTCCACTGGTATGGCGCATTAGCAACAGGGCTACGCAGAAGTGTTGCATTTGGGTTCAAGATACGAGAAACAGTAGCTTCGCTTCCTTTGTTGCAACTGATACCTATTCGTTGCCTTCCAAAGACGCCTTCTCTAGCTCATGTAAGCTGGATCAATCAAAGGAGCTTCTTACGCTAGGAACATACTCAACTACGGTGGTAGCAAAGGGTCGTATGTCTGATGCACGGTCTCAACAAGTATAGGGCAGAAATTGATAGTTGAGGCTGGGAGCTGCCTTACTACCACAGTGTTTTGTCCCTCGCTCATTTGGTAGACTTTCCAAGACTGGAATCATCCGTGGCCACAATTGCGGATAGTTGCTGCTGATCATCGCGAATTTTTTCAGTCTCATGTCACTATCGGAAGGGATGGAGACAAAGCTTACTTACTAAAAATATATACAAAATCAAAAAAGAGTCGGATAACTAATCTCGACTCGGACGCCGGGAGTGCGAAAAACCTTGGACACTACAACATAAGGATTTTCTTCGGGTCCCGTCGACTAGCACAAAGAGAGTGCAAGACTTGCCAAACAGAAGTCACAAGTTGTCTACATTTGACAGATAAGAACCGTGTCATACCCCGACGAGATGGGAGAAAACTCATCGGCATACTGAGGACTTGGGATCGAATCGCAGACATAACCCTTTCAGAAGTATGGCTGGCATACTGATTTAATTGCACAAGCCAGTCGTCACTGATACTGACCGCACAAGGAGTTCTGAGGCTCGTGTGCCTATTGATCCAACATGGGAAAACCTCTTCAGCGACTTTGAATTAACATCAAGCCTGACATCGAGGTTGATACAAGTCTGGAGTTAGTATTTCAAGAATTAATAATCTTTGAGATCTCATCTCAGCCGACGTGCAAGAGCCACAGGACTGCGTTTGGAGCGCTTTATCTTGGTTGAAAAGCAATCTCAGGCGTGAAAACTCAAGCTTCTAGGAAGCGCCGCCGATTCCTTATCAAAAGGACAAATTCACCGTGGTCTATCGCAATCTGAGTTGAACCTTTGACATTCAAAGTTGCTCAACCACAGTCAAGGAAGCGCCATGATGAATTACTCCACTCCAGCGCCTCACGTCATTTGATCAATTTGGGGCGCTGATTGCTCAGATGTCGTACAGTCCTTCAGATCAGTAGCATAGGGCGTGCCAAGAGACCAGTACGGAGTTGCAAAACTTGCTAAACAGGACCGACGAGTTGTTTAGACTTGACAGATAAAAAATTGGCCTTGGTGCTGCGTGATAGGAGACAAGTCACCGGCATATTGAGGACTTGGGATCGAATAGCGAATATGATCTCTTCAAAGTCTAATCCAAATGGAGGCTGATATTCCGTTCTAAACGTGCGAGTCAGTGATTATCAATGCGATCCGCACATGGAGCTTTGAGGCCCGTTCTCCACGGTCTGTTCCAACTTCGATAAAAGTTTCCACACTCAAAGACGCAGATATCACACAAGTCTGCAGCAGCGCTGACAAGCGTCTTCGACCATCAAGCAAAAGAATACCTTCAGCGAGCATGTACTAATGCCGACGACTGCCGCGAACATTTGACGGAGCTCAGATCAGAGGGTCACCTAGCCTTCATAAACGATCGAGACTGGAAACCCTGGGAAGACCAGAAGCTAGTTGACCTCACACTCAAAGAGGAATATGACCTCTAGATCCACAAACATTCCGGTAATGAGCACAGACGCTTCTGATTCGGCAATGGTTGTCGAGGGCGCGCGCAAGAGATCATATCGAATGGGCGTCTGCCGACGAATTAGCAACACGCTGACCCACTGCAACAAACACCTGCTAAAGGAACGATAGCCAGACCCGATGCTGAGGCCAATGCGCAATATATGAACGCGCATTTAAGAGTCAGACGAAGGCGCGACAATAATTCTCTCAACGTCTGATTCTGTAAGTTCTCCGTTGCAGAACCCTGTCGAAGAACACCGCCTGCGTAGCTCATCGGTTGGCCAGCGAAATCATTGGACTTCAGTACCAGAGCATTTATAGTCAACATAGCGCGTTGTTCATTCCGAGGCGAATGATTTGGAACCTCATGAAGCACTACCCCAGCGCCAAATGATCATGCATTCGAGAGTTGGAGCTGGATCTCACGGCAACGGCTTAGTCAGAGTCTAGGCAGTGCCACACTCCGTTCTATGGCGTCTTGCACGTGACTCTGGGTGCAACATCAGATAATACCGCCCAGTCCTCTTGCGCGATGAGTCTAGTACGTACAGGAAGAGCGTTATTTCGTAAGTCCGTCGTCACTTGGAAAGACAGCGCATGAAGGTCGAAGACTCGCCCATCTGTCTGATTACGGCCGGAAAGAGGTCTTTAGCGAGCATGTACCGTTGTCAGTATATCCAATATCGAGGCCAATGTGCAATGCAATTCGCACAACTTTAGTCGAAGCCTTTCTGCAATAGGATTTTGTGTAAGGAGTCATCGCTTCTGAGATGACGGATGAGATTGGTTGCGAGAGGCTAGTTCAGGGTGAATGATTGGGCTGGAACCCTTCTAATTGGAAGGGAACAGGGTCTTCTATGCGGCCGCCACAGGAGTCGACATTCCAGTTCTTGTTGCAAGGCTTCCGATTGTCCTCAATGGTAGGGGTTCTTAGGATTGGACCATGACCCAAATACTGACATTGAGTTTTGCCCTGAACCCAAGATCGACGACGAGTTGGAACTTTCCACGAATTGGATGGTATTGGCGCCTCGGCCCACTTGATAAAAGACGAGCTAGACGATGTCCGCTTGCTGCAAAATTTCCCGGCCTCACGACCGTATTGCAGTGTCCCGGAGTACTGGTCTCTTGTATTGATTCGGTGCGAGGAGTGACTACGTGCCGACAGCGTGTGCAGGCTTCAGGATGGCGCCTAGTTGTACGATGGAGTTGATTAAAGTCCAGTTCGTAGCTTGAGGTGCCCACCCTGCATTGCAGGGGATATCTATTCTTGACAACCGTCGGATCAGAGATCCACATCATGGTCTCTCAAGGCATGTTGTACTGATCTCTCCGCAAAAGGCTGCCACGCCGTCCCCTGATCTGACCAATCAAAAGTGCAGAAACAGGATATTCCATACAAAAATGGCTCAACGAAGAGGCAGTCTAGGTGAGGTTCAGCTCAAGACGCACAATCGAAGGTTGATGTCACTCTCAGACTGTACTGTCTTCCTGCTCAGCCAAAGTACGACTTTCGTGTCGCGGAGACATCGCGTGTCGAGCAGACTAAATAAACACGAGGCTGATCTTCGACTTGACTGAGATGCAAGAAGTTTGTCAAAACGTCCCAGAGGTGGAAATAGATCGAGGCTTGCTGAATGCTGTGTCATCTAGCGAGGAGCGAAACAATCCTCACAAAAAGTTTCGAGCTAAATCCAAAGCCTGGAATGCCGAGTTGTGGTATTGTCGAAGCATGGATGAACATGGCCAAAAATCATTTTCGGTTCGACAGATCGATCGAAATCACCAAGACAGACACTTTGCTAAGTGGGCCGCACTTCCAGACCCACAGTCGCATAGAGCGACGTCATACCAGAATGTTTATCCCATGTCGGGACAAAATGCTGCATCTCAAAAAAAAGGAACATCTGGAATTTAGCCAAGCATGGTTCAAAGTTCGTCTGACTAGCGATGAACTGCTGTCTTAGAAGGATTGCAAACCTGAGGTGTGTCATAGTACTTTAACAGAGCATGATCTTTGATGCCCATGTTTTCAGTCCGAGGCAGCACTTTCTATCTTTGAGCTGCAGAGTGTCGAAACCCAGTCGACTGTTAAGCATGGTGCTCTGCTTCAAGAAAGGACCGTCGAGGTATGCCAGAGGATTTGCCTAAGGATTCGCCTTCCAATTTGTCAAAGTATAAAGGTGGTACCAGAACAGAAAGCTAGAATATTGCCGGTCAGTGTTCATGGCAGAAAGCTGGGCGACTTAGGTTGCGTCGACGCTCGGGGCATAGAGCAGCATCTTTTATTCTCTGCCTTCCTCTTTTCTAGGGGGTTTTCACCGGTTGAGCCACCGCATTCCTTTTGAAGGGACGATTGGGATCCTAGCCACCGTTCGTTCGCGTAAAAGATACCTCCAATCGTCAACTATAATGGTACTACCGGAACGGAAAGACTGGGCAAACTCAGCTGGAGATGATGGCAGAAACCCGGTCCATTTAAGATGTGTCGATGTACGGATCATTGGGGACCATCTCTCATCCTCTGCCCTGCTTTCTGTGAAGCTCTTGACTGGTCAAGGCTACTGATTCCTGTTGAGTCGATGACAATAGATTTTACAGTGTGCACGCCTTCGCATCACGATAAACCTGCACGACGGTCACCTATGGTGGTAGTGCCGATGCTGCGAGGTCGGAAATAGCCAACTGGTCTTGATGAGAGTGAGCATAGCGGTCTGAAATCTGTCGGCACATGTATCCACAAAAGCCTTCATCCTCTTCTGCCTTCGGTTTCTCCAAGCGACTTGCTGGCGGGATGCTACTGCTCTGTTCGCAGAAGAACGACTGAGGTTCTAGCGAGCACTGATCCGAGATCAAAAAAATACCAAGCAATAGTATTCTCAGAGGGCGATAGCGCAGCTGAAAGAGCTTGAGGTTGTGTCAAAGTCTCAAGCTTCGTGTCAGAATATTGCGCTCCAGCGGCACCAGGAGGCTTAAATTTGTATGCTTAGAGTCTCCCTTCTCGGAAGCACTTAACAACCTAATTCTATCCTCAGAAAGGTGTCAATTGAGTTCTGTGACCAGATAGAAAGTCTGCTCTCCATCAATCATACGGAATTAGAGTTCCAACATAGACGCCCAGCATTGAAGTATTCATTGGCTGACTCGACGATCCCAACTTCCGAGACCAAAGCCGTGCTGTTTTCCAGAGAAGAATGATTAGGGTATGTTCGACGGTGACATCAGCCATTCTCGGTCTCTTTCTCAGGTCAAGCATCAGCTTATTCATCTTCGCGTTAACCGTGACCAGCTGTAAATGCTAAACATTGATTGAATCAGCTGTCATACACCTAACGACGGCAAGGGTATCTAGAACGAGCAAAGAGTATTTTTTCAGGGACAGGTGCTTCCGGCTAGGGAAGAATGATAACCAGCTGTCGAATACCAAATTTCGGCAAGTTATCTAGAACAAGGGTATCTAGAATGAGTAAGAGACATTCGTAAGGGGCCAGACGTAAATTGTTCCAGGGCATAATGGGATGCTAATACGCTGAGACATATGTGTAGTTCGAAGTAGTTGAAGGCTTTGAACGTTCCTCAAATACCATTAGCTCCAGGTTTATTCTAATTGGTGACCACTCTTTACTTAACTCTTGATATATCGTTTTTGGTCACTCTGGCTATTATGGCATGGTTTTCTCCTTCTGAATTTCTGCGATCGAAGTTGCAACACAGATAACTCAGCGGCAGTTGCTTGGACCGCGTGAAGGGACGAGTATGATTAGCATCAAAGAGCGACTTTCAGTCCAACCTGTACGTCGGACTTTCAGCCAAGCCCACAAGATGGCGGGGTGAGTTCTTCTTACTGTAATGAGCGTTCCGCTATCCTCCGAGCTTCAAGAGCGGCGCTGGCAAAGAGTACCATGATGGAACTGATGACGTAGACTAGAGCAGATTGAGACTCGTGAGACGTCAAAGAAGGAACCATCGCCCGGGTTATCCC